TTCTGGACTCGCAATCACAGTCGACATTGATGGACTTAGAATCGGTACTCATAGGTTCCCAATCGGATTTTCGGAAATCAAAATCAAATTGAGAAATCGATCAGAGATAGGATGTCGCATCTGAAGTCGAAATCGGAAGTATATGATGATTTGGAATTGATAACTTGATGTTTTTAACATTTTTAAAATAGTTAACTTGTTTGCACTCCAACTGTTTAATGAAATGCATAAACTAAATTACCATTATATTCACATGTGAATATGTTTTCTCACCTGAATCAGTATATGATTATTAAAAACACAAAACAAATATGCAAGTTTGTATGTTATTCATATGTGAATAACATATAAAAATTATATATATTTGTCAAAATACCTTCAATATTCATAAGTGAATATACCTTGTAATATTCATATGTGAATATACTGTTAATATTCATAAGTGAATATATCATCTAATATTCACAAGTGAATATACTCTATAATATTCACATATGATATACCATGTAATACTATGTAATATTCACATATGAAATGTCATTTAATACTCATAAGTGAATATACCATCTAATATTCACAAATGAATATACTATGTTAATATTCACAAGTGAATTCATCGTCCAATATTAAAATATGAATATACTATGTTTCTTATATGTTATATTCATATACGAATGATACTTAAATTGTAAAAAAAAAAAAATCATACTTTTTATTCATATGTGAATAACGAATGTACTGTAATAAAACCTGATGCATTGTTATTCATTTATGAATAACGATAGCTGAAAATATAAAAAAATAAATTTTTTATTTTATCTTAAAACTATATCAATATGGATGTCTATTTGTAGAGAATAAAAAATCATGAATTTTGGTATATTTAAAATCATTTTTTGATAAAAATAGCTTATAAAAATTAAAAAAAAAAACGAAAAAAAAAGTTTTTGTATATATTAAGGTAATGATTAACATAGTTTAAGCAAATATGTTATGGTGGAAAACACATGTGCATTCGTTTCCCATTTCTGCCGGTACGTTGGAGCGTTTGCGGCAAAAATAAATGATTGGCTAAGAATGATTCCTCCATTCTCAATATTTTTTTTATCAATTATATATATATATATATATATATATATATATATATATATATATATATATATATATATATATATATATATATATATATATATATATATAGGTAGGTTCAATTGAGAAAATAAAAAAGGTTGAGAATGGGGGAATCATTCTAAGCCACTCATTTAATTAGCCTCTAGGACACGGTGACAAACTTGTAAATATGATATAATAGCCTTCAATCACAAATACGAATAGTTGAAATTTATTCGTTTTTTGCTCTTTCAATCCAACCTTCAATTCTGTTTGAATACGAACATATCTTCAACATCTACGATTAATTATACTCCCAGCATCATTAGAACAACATCATCGATAATCAACAAAAAATTCAATTCGTATCATTCATTCACCATCATTCATCAAATAAATATCGAAATTAAGGTTAGAAAAAGATCAAATCATTTTTTGTTTCAAATTTTCATATATTTCTCTACCAATCTACTATTTTGTAAGATTTAAGTAGTCAAAGTATCATATTTATCATATTTTTAAAAAAGTTAACTTGTATGCACTCCAACTGTTTGATGAAATGCATAAACTAGATTATCATGTTTTATTCGCATATGAATATGTTTTCTCACCTAAATCGATATGTGATTATTAAAACACAAAACAAATATGCAATTCTGTACGTTATTAATATGTGAATAACATATAAAAATTATATATATTTATGAAAACACATTGTAATATTCATATATGAATATACTGTGCAATATTCACATATGAATATACCAACTATTATTCATAAGTAAATATACGATCTAATATTCACAAGTGAATATACTATGTATTATTCTCATGTGATATACCATGTAATACCATATAATATTCACATATGAAAATATCATATTATATTCATAAGTGAATATATCATCTAACATTCACAAGTGAATATACTATGTAATATTCACAAGTGAATGCATCGTCTAATATTTAAATATGAATATACTATGTTTAGTATATGTTATATTCATATATGAATGATACTTAAATTGTAAAAAAAAAATAATCATAGTTTTTATTCATAAGTGAATAACGATAATATATTTTCTCGATCATTGTCGACTTCCCGATTGTTATCTCAATGGTTAAATTTGTGTAACTTATTTTCAGTTACTGACTTTCAATGATTCTTTGTAGAAAAAATGTCAACTGGAAATTACAGAAAGATTTCCCTGGAACAAAAGGTAAGACTTTTTAATTCTTGATTGACTTATGAGAAGTTGAAAGCTTCACGTTTCCCTGCTCTTCTTTTACAAATTGGGTCTTAGAAGGTTCCAAATGCCATTCATGCCCTCAATTGGGTAAAACAAAATGTTCATGCAACCTTTCTCAAAACACATACAGTAGGGATTACAACGAAGTTCCTGAAGGTAATGATTTAGATCTTCAAGGTTCTATTCTATTTTACTTTGACTGAGGTTGAAAGATTTGTTTAGTGTAGTAAATATGAGTTTAAGTTTATTATGACTAACGGGTTGTTTTTTGTTTTATTTTACTGAAGGGCGAAGATGATGATTAAAGTGGTCGATTGAAGAAACAGGTACGTTATCCGTCAATTTATATGTCAATATGAATTTGTTGCTTTAGTTTATGTGAAACCCTTTGATTATCAGTAGTTTTTGAATCTAATTAGATGGTTATTGCTATTCTTCTTGAGTCATTGTGTCATTTAAATGTTTTAGTTCTATCAGATTATGAAAGGCCTATCGGGGACATGGTTTTGTTTGCTTATTTGGGCTCAAAACAAAAGAAAAAAGATTTTAGTGGAAAAAAACCATTTTCAAATAACTTTCATAACTGAGTGTACTAGATTGGCAAATCTCAAAAAATAATAATAATAATAATAATAATAATAATAATAATAATAATAATAATAATAATTAATTAATTAATTAAAGTTATACAAAAAATACAACCTCACAAACTACGAATAACGATGACCAATTGGTTCAACCATCTGATAGATTTTGAAACATGAATAACATAATGAGACTTACTATGTTACACATAAACACAAACAATATTTGAAGGGCATTTGTATATTATGAAATTACGTACCCTTTCTTAATGTTTTCAGTTCTTGATTGCTTTTGGTATGTATCAGATTAGGATGCACAAATTCTTGGAGAAAACAATGATAAGGAGGCTGCTAAAATTGCTAGAAGTGAATACAAAATTTATGAACATGTTTTTAATGCCTTCTTTAGGTGCTTTAGTGGTCAAACTCTTCTCAAAGTTAATCCTTATAGTGAGTTTTATATCTAATTTCAGCTCATTCTCTACTGATATTTTACACTGTATTGACTCTATTTGGTATTTTTAATCGACTATTTTCTGTTTGTGGTAGGAAATACATGTGGTTTCAATATAAAAGATTTTTCTAGGAAAGGAATTGTTTTAATTTTTTTTTACTTCGCTATCAGAATCTGCTCAAGGTTAGTTCCATATCTCTTACTTTAGGGTTTTATTTTTATTTTTTTGGATGGCCAATGGAAATTGTTAGATTAAAACATTAACTGAACATCATTTTCCTTATAGAGAGGTATATGAAATACTTATTTTACGTCATGTATGACACAAATCTTAGTTTATAGCGATACTTGTGAATTCAATATAGTAGGTATGATTCTTTTATCGATGGAGTGTAGTTCATAATACAACCTATACTGAATCTGAGAAAATTTGACTTTTTTTGTATGATATATGACTTAACAAAATATTCAATTTATTTATTTGTACTTTTTTACAATGTTTCTTTTGCTTAATAGGATGATTCGATTAATGTAACATATATGAAAATATGGAGATTGTAAAGGAGTCCATGACACCTATTGTATGAACATTCTTACTGTATGGCAATTAAAAATTGGAATGGTGAGTTCCAATCCAAGTCTCCTATCTTTCTTAAATTCTTGATTTACCCCTTTGTTTTTATTTATGTGTTAGTAATTGTTATTCCTTAAAATTCTAATCATGCTTTTTGTCTTCCATTCCTGTTACTTGAAGTGTTAAGGTCTTGATAATGTTGAGGAAATAAGAAGCATACTAGGTATGCCTTGATTATAAATAACATTATTTTAATTTGTCCAAATAACATAAGAATAGGGACATAATTACTAACAGGAAGTTGATGAAACATAACTAATTCACATTTAGAGTAAAAGGGGATCACAACATCTTACTTCCACTTCAAAATGGGGTATCAGAATTAGCTATAACATTACAAGATGAAGTTTCCAAATGCCAATGTGAATTATTGACTTACATTTTTCTTTGTGTTATGGAAATGACAGGCGCAAAAGATCCGCTTGAAGGAACAAAAGAGAATGCGAATCCACTTACCTATTTGCCCTTATGGTTAATGAAGGTCATGGTAAGGTGATGCCATCATATTAGTCTGTGTTTTTATTTTTCAGTATAGATAGTAAAACGTTTTTATTAGCTTGAATATTTTGTGATTATTATAGTATGGATATGAATTGATGCATTGCTTTTAGGTGTAATGAGCACAAGCTTGAACTTTTTCCTATTCATGGATTATGCAATTGATTGATAATATGTATATTTCAATAAATAAATCAATAAAATATCTAACGTAAACTCCTTTTACAAACGATTTAATTGAAATCCGATCCCCGCAGAGCGGGGTACTTCCTATATATATATATATATATATATATATATATATATATATAATATATATATATATATATATTAAAATTGTCTACCCAAACTACTTTACTAGTGGCTAAGGAATTGACATAAATGATCCCTCAATTATTATTATATATGTTTGTTGTTACAATATTGGGATGTTCCTTTTAGGGGGTTGTATTTTGCTATTTTTAAATTCTATGTCCACGTGTTTGTATCGGCTTTCTTTCACCGTTTTCTCTGCCAATAATGTTTCGATTTATGTTACTCTATTTCCTTTCTATGTTACTCTCCCAACAAAAGCACTGATCCTTTCAAATCCTTCCATCAAAGTCGGCTACGCCACCGCTTCTCACCGACTTTCCTTTGTGTATCTCTCACGGGCTTCTTCTTTTCGACCCAATCAAATTCTGATCACCCTAGGTAGTCCACCACCTCAAATATTGGATACCTTTAATCCACATCTCCACCTCCTTAGTCAATTGTGGCTTCACCATCGCTCCTCTAATGCTGACCAAATATTTTGTTGGTTCGATTTCACCCTTCCAGTCGGGCCCGATAACCGTCCGATTTCAAGATCACAGATTTCCTTCCATCAAAAGGTTTCAGCATCACAAATTGCCTCCACCGTTCCAGTCGTTACCAAATCAGTTGAGGTAGGTTTCCACCAACACGTAGGATATAACCCTTCTTTGTAAAGCCCTCCTTTCAATTGAACCTTTCGCTGCTCTCATACAACTTTTCTTTTATGTTCCCTGGGTTGTGTTGAATTCGTGTTTTTCTTTCATTTTCTACAAATTTCTAATTCCTAATTGTTTGTTGTGATGTTTGAAATAAGGTGGTAAATGGAACTGGTAGCATCCCAAAACGAGTCTAAATTTCAACCTAAAAGGTATGCCATATAGATTTCACTTCTATTTATTGTTGTTGGTTTACTTTGAGGCAAAACGTATATTTGTAAAAGCTAGATTGGACTGCTTATTTGGATGAATGGATGTCGGCCGGTCATAAATAGTCAATGCAGTTGTCCTTCTCCTTAAATCCGGTGATGAATCTGACCCCTAATTTTCGACTTCATTTATGTGTATTACTATCTGAAATTGGTAATGGAGGTTCTGTTGCATTTGGGGAGCCGAAGGGGTGATATTTTTACATACATAAAAGCTATGGTTGGATGCCCATAACCTATTTGTTTAAATGCTTCAAAGAAGATTCTTATTCAGAAACATGTTAATTAGTGGGTATGCTCTTATTAGTTGCAACATATCTCCTGTCTTCATCTTCTTCTTTTTTAGTTCTTTAATGAATGTTTGTTTTCTTTCAATCATAAAGCGGGTAGGTGCATTTCCGAGTAAATATGATTCACTGGTGTTGTAGAGGTATGTTTCTTTTTCTGCCTTTTCTCTTTGATTCTTTACCAATTAAGATACAATTTACATACAATTTAAGCATTTTGTTTTGCCTATTAACATTTGCCTATTTCTGTTATTTTGTTCATTAGTTATGCGCAACACGTAAAGCAAACCAAAAAAGAAGGAACGATAATTGTTGTGTCATCTGAACTTCATAAGATGGGTAGCCGACCCGTGGGAATTAGATTTGAGAAGGTCAACAATGAAAATAGGTATTTGGTTATTATTATTTAACCTTAATAATAACCTTACTTTCAGTTTTTAAACCATTTTAAGTTATAGAATTGAGAGCTTATTAGAAGTGGTTTAAACCTAATACTTTTTTTATAGAAATATTTATAGGAATGACAAGTGGTAAAAATTAATCAAAGTTTTTAAGGGTCATTCAATAAGCAATATAAACTCATTAATACAAAATATTTTAAAGAGAAGCAAGAAAGGTATGTATGGCTACGAGTATGTTAGATGCATGCTGTTGTAATGATTTTTTTTTTTTTTTTTTTTTTTTTGTTTTTGTTTTTTTTTTGTTTTTATGAAACTGCGAAGCGGAATGAAATGAGGGTCTGCAGTCGTTTACATGAACCACCGGCAACACTCTTTCCATCAAGGTATTGTCCTCCACAACCGTTTTAGACAAGAAATCTAGCACCATTCGTTTCACTGCACATAAAACAATAAAAACAAATATTAGTTCAACGCCAAATCAATACTGTGATGAAAGTGCTTTACGTTTTTGTATATTTTTCTCTGATATAGAAAAATATTTTTATAATCATTGTAATTATAAAAAATAAGGGCTTAAGGCTCATTTTACATATATTTAACATCATTGAACAATGTGGTGCAGTTGAGTTGATGAAGATGAAACCTGGAAGAACTGTAATGCAAATATTGATATATTTAAAAGGATCATTGAGACAAGCGGTTGACAAATGGGGTCAAATTGACGTAATTGACCCTGCAACTTTCGTTGTGAAAGAAGACAACAATCTATTAGTGGTTGAATATGAATTGGTAAATGACAAATGGGGTCAAATTGACGTAATTGACCCTGCAACTTTCGTTGTCAAAGAAGACAACAATCTATCAGTGGTTGAATATAAATTGGTAAATGTTTAGTGTTTTTAATGAGCTTCGCTGTTGATTTTAATGAGCTCCGCTGTTGACTGGCCTCTATCAGGTAAAGATCTATCTTTTTGTTACTAAATTATTGATTATCTTTTTAGATGAAAATAATAAAAAGGTTAAATCTAATTATGTCCATGTACTACTGCATTATATGGCTCTAAGAATTGTCAATCTGGTGAAATTTAGGTTCGTTTTTTAGCAAATCCAGTTAAAGATACATGTTTTTCTATAAAATATAATTTTGTTTATTAAGTTTTTGACAATATATTCTTACATTTATGCTCTTGGGTGAGAACTGAAGACATATATACTCCTACATCAGTGATAAAGATTGACAGAAATACCCATTGCTTATTTTTTTGATGATTTGTCTTTTGTAATTTTATAGCGATGTGTTTGGCTTTTTTATATTTTTTTTGTAAGTTTTGCTGGTGAATCGATGCTTTTGCATATGTGATGACCAAACTTAAAAGAAGAAATAAAATAAACTTTGGATGACCAAACTTAACAAATATCTCCTTTCACATTGTATTGACTAGTTGTGACATCAATGTATATCAATGTATTAGATGAGTTAATTTAAAAATAAAAGTTAAATATAAAAGTCAAAATATTTGAAAATTTTGAATTTATAAGAAAAATAATGAATTATTATAATGTAAATGTTTTTTATATTTTAAATTTAAATAAATAATTTAAATAAATAAATAAATTAAGGAGCTTTAATTTTGGAAGTTTAAAAATTAAAATGTAAGTTAAATAATGAAATTGATACTTCAAGTTCCGTCGTGGATATATGTGGATTTAAGGTGTAGTTTATAAGTAGGTTAGATTTACCGTTTTAAAATTTTTTTTAATAAAATTGATATCGGTTTATTACTATATATATTACAATTATTTCATCAAAATATTATGTGTAATTTAATAAAATATAAATATTTATAAAATGATATGAAAAAAAATTAATTCAAAACATAATCATAAAATAATATTTGAAAAATTAAATTAGAAAATGAAAAATTGTAAAAAAAAAACAGAGAAGATTTTTTTACGAAAGTGAATAAAATTTGGATTATTTTCTTTGTTTAGAGATAATATGATATGATGTGTATTTGTCTGTTTGATTTATTTGTAACAACTCATAACATTTGATTGTTGCAAAAGGATTAATGGATGCATTTCTTTTTTTAATGTTTTATTAGTGATTGGTATGATCATGCACTTTTGGAATATCTTTGTGTTTTTTATTACGCTTTAACGAACTTATAATGTTAAAGAATAAATAATAGTTTTGGCCCCTGTAGTTTATATCCATCTCTTGTTTTAGTCCAACTTTGTTATTTCTGACATGACTCATCCATATAGTTTCTAAAAGTTGCATTTGTGGCCCTTGAGGCTTTTATCCATAATGAGTTGACATTAGCTACAAACAAAACAACAAAAAAATAGGCTTACATTAACTACAAACAAAATGACTATTATACCCGTATTATATTTTTTCTATTATTTTGTCGTTTTATTAACCATGCCGTTTCTTTTATTTTATGAGAAATTGAATAAATGCCCTAATCCTCCTTTACAACCATATATATATATATATATATATATATATATATATATATATATATATATATATATATATATATATATATATATATATATATATATATATATATATAGGGATAGGGAATATAAATTACAGCCCCACCTAAGCTTAGATACTAAACCTCTAAAATATGTCGTTTTAACATGCTAAATAGGGAAAGGTTATTTGGAAAATAAAAAAACCCTAAAAATCATAAAAATGCATAAAAAAAATACCTAGAGATCACAAGACTTTTTTTTGATATTTTTTAAGAAAAAATCGTAGCTTTTTAAAGAAAATCGCTGAAAAAAATTTGAAAAAAAAAACTTTTTTTTTTTTTTTTTTTTTTTTACAAATATATATATATATATATATATATATATATATATATATATATATATATATATATATATATATATATATATTTTCAGCGAATTTTTATAAAAAGCTGCAATTTTTTATAAAAAAAATTCAAAAAAAAGTCTTGTAATCTCTAAGTATTTTTTTTATACATTTTTATGATTTTTAGGGTTTTTTGTTTTCCATAGAACCTATATATATATATATATATATATATATATATATATATATATATATATATATATATAGGTAAAGTGAATATACCTAACAACCTTATATAAGCTTAGGTACCTAACTCCATAATCCTACATCGGTTTGTATCATATTTACATTGTAATTGCCTAAGGTTGTTAAACTTCAACCCCATAACTTGATTATTTCCGAAATCTTTGGACTTTCACAAATATCTTTCTTTTACATCATGTCTTTCTATCGAACACCACTTGATGGGCTTCATATCCTACCGCTCTAAATGAAAGGATGTAGGAGAAATATAATGATGAATTTCCAAATTTTTTTTGAAGTAAATCAAGTTTAGGGATGAAGTTTAAGAACCTTGGATGATTGCAATGAAAATTTAATGCAAAATAATATAGTTTGATGAGGTTAGGTACCTAAGCTTATATAAGGTTGTTAGGTATATTTACTTAACCTATATATATATATATATATATATATATATATATATATATATATATATATATATTATATATATATATATATATATATATATATATATATAGGGTTAGGTTCATTTGAGACCACCTATATTTTGTGAGACCGTGAGACGCATTTTTTTTATTTTTTTTATATTTTTTTTAGTTAATTCATGTTCCGAAAATAATATTTAAAAAAAGAATTTTTTGATTTTTCCATATATTTTGCATTTTAAAATTATTTTTAGAATATGTACAGTGTAATATTCTATTTAGAATATTTCACGTATTTTAAAAAAAAAATAGATTTTTTTTATTTTTTTTTATTTTTCTTAGTTAATTCAAGTTCCGAAAATAATATTTAAAAAAAGAACTTTTAGATTTTTTCATTTATTTTGCATTTTAAAATTATTTTTTAAAATATGTTAATGTAATATTCTATATAGAATACTTCACGTATTTTTAAAAAAAAAACGGAATTTTTTTTATATATTTTTTTTATATTTTTTTTAGTTAATTCAAGTTCCGAAAATAATATTTAAAAAAAGAATTTTTAGATTTTTCCATTTATTTTGCATTTTAAAATTATTTTTCACGGTCTCACAAAATTAGAATGGGTTCAAATGAATCTGAACATATATATATATATATATATATATATATATATATATATATATATATATATATATATATATATATATATATATATTAAAGGTAAATTTATTTTCTTTGTTTAGCGATTATATGATTCGATGTGTATTTCTTGGATTTATTCGTAACAATTCATTTGATTGGTGAAAAGGAATAGAAGGTGCATTTACTTTAATGTTTTTTTAGTGATTGGTATGACGGTGTACTTTTTGGAATTGGAGTCATCTGTTTATTTTCTTTATCTAGAGATTATATTATATGATTTGTCTTTGTATTTATTGAATATGTAGGTTTTTATTAGTAGTTATGGTGATGGAGGCGGTAACGATTACATGTGATCGATGATTTTTGGTGATTGTGGCAGACTCGATGTGACGATGGTGGATTTACTTTAACAAAGTTTTACAAAAAAATACTAGTTAACATAAAAACCAACTCCTATTTCTTCATAGTTATCATTCCTTTGCTTGAATTCACATTTTCTGTTTTAACAATCACACTCACAAATCTATATAAGTTTAATGAAAAGTTTAATCATAACATCATTACATATCAAAATACTATTACTACATAATAATTATAACTAAGTTCATTAATTTACAACTAATGCCGTCTATACTCGTTAAAAGGCTCTAAATCTTATTTGATATAATCATAATACTCATGTATGACTTATCAACATAGATACAATCTTTTTGGAGTGAATAATGCTAAATATTTTTGGAGAATTTCATATATACCCTTTTTAAACATCAAAATATCATCTTTATCCAATTTAATTTCTAAATATCATATTTACCCTTTATAAAATTTCAAAATATCATATATATCATTTTGAAATATTAAAATATCATATGTGCACTGCTTAAATATAAAAATATCGTATATGTATTTTTTAAACATCAAAATATCAATAGTAATATCTAAAATATCCCCCATCTACAATATGATAATAATGAACAACAACAAAAACTAAACAATCAAAATATACATTCCATAGAAAGGGTTGAAGATGAATCATTTTGTCTGTCAAGAGCCCAACATTCCAACAATTTAGAAGTTCACATTCCATTATTATAGACGTAAGGATAATACGGTTAAATTTCTTAACTATTATAATAATTCTAAGGTATAAAAATGATTATAAAATATAAAAACATTATAAAAAAAGATTTGGGCAAATATAATATTTTAAAGGTGTATGAAGTGTAAATATGATTTTGAGAAATGAAACTAGAAAAATATGATATTTTGAAGTTTAAAAAGAGCATATATGAAATTCTCCCAAATATGTTCATTTACTCCTCAAAATAAAACATTTATAACATCAAAGATATAATTGTACAACTTTAATCATATATCCCAATGTCTCTTACGATTAAAGTTAAACTACTCACATTGACTTGGCTGAAAGAAGCTTGTTCCGATTCCGTAAGATCTCATGCCAACCCTTGTTTCAACGACACCTATTCAATAATACAACCCTTAAGTGTTATGTAACACTTCGTTTTCATATTCAAATTGAATTTAATATAAACCGTTGTTTATAAAATTCGAAGTAGAGATATATTATTTTTAGCCAATATAATCATCATAAACATGTAGGAAACATCAATACAATTTCCGTAGATATATAAAAAGCTTGAATCTGACTTTGTATGAAAAAGTTATGATTCTATGAAGTTTGCGTTCAACACTATATGATAATGCGCATCGTAATATATGAATCAAAGATAAATTTCTTATTAGCCTAAGTAATCTACACAAAAGTCGCGGTAGTCATAAAATCGAGAGTGTAGATATAGTGATCGTCTAAATCTAACTTCGTATGAAGAACTTATGATTTTTCGAAGTTTCAACGCAGTATTGTGGATATAGAAAACGAAATTTAATTTGGTTGATTGTTAGGAAAAATAATCTAAACAGAAGTTTAAGATCTTGTGATTAAGATTTCTTCGATATAAAGATAGTCGATGAAGGATATCGTATGAAAGAGTTATGATTTTTACACAAACTTTAATAGTCTAAGCTTGTTAAAAATATATCTTTAAAAATAAAATGAGAATTAGTGACAAAGTCTAAACAAATGTAATAGATCTCGTTGATAGCTACGCGTGGATATAAAGAACATAAAAAGCAATGTTTGTATGATGAAGACACAGATTTTTGAAGATTTCCCAGAGGCACGATGCACGCTCTAGAAGCCAACCACGTTGATCCACTGCAAGCCCGCCACGTGTCACAAGGAGAGCGGCTTACTAGAGCCAAGGCACACAACATCTCCACAGATTTTGCCCTATAAATATGATTTCAAGCTTCATTACTGTCCAGGCCATTACTAAACTTTCTCTCTTTCTTATGCACAATAATAGGTTCTTTCTTCGGGATTTCAAAGTATTTTAGTTTAGCGAAGCTCTAGGTATCTAGGCTTGAGTACTAGAAGCTCTTGGGCCAGAGTTCTACCAGTGCAATTGTCCGGTTTTCAATATAAACTCTCTGCAAGTTAGGATACACTTACTAAACTTTAAAAGTAACTTATAATTATATTCCTAGTCGTTATTATGAATGTGTAAATAAGATTTATCAGTAATCACAATTATAATATTGATTGATCTACTTATGGGAGACGTGTCTAGAATGGTCACGTTAGCTTGGTTGTTGGATTTCAAAAAAAGCTATATGCCAAAATGATATTGCCTTATAGCTGGCTTGCCTGGCTAATCCTTATTAGATATAACTATTGGTAGTTATTGGGATTAGTGAAAGATATAGCTTTCATTACAAGATTTTCACAAAGATTCATCAATTATAGTATTATACATTAATACTTGTTAGGCATGTTAACCGCCCGTTGGATCGCCAGTAGAATCGCCCAGATAGCTTTCAATCGTCTGAGCAATTTTCTATGTGAGTTACCTTACTATACTATGTATTATAGTAAATACTGATGCATATTAGTTTATAAGAGCTAGTTTAGCAGAGGCCGCTAGTATAGTCTGTAGGCGCCCAATGTTAGTGTACCCAAAGCTAGGAAAGTAGAAATTATAGCCTCTGTGTGGCTATATTAGTAGAGCCTAAAAGTGTACTCACTATATGTGTAATATGTTTGTGTGTGTTGGGTGGGGCATGCCATGTATATTGGGTGGAGTCCATTATGTAGTTTGGGAGAGGACCATTTATACGCTTATTAGACGTGACCTGATAGATGTTTTATGGTGTATGATATTTTAGGGAACTCACTAAGCTTCGTGCTTACCTGGTTGATTATAAATGTTTCAGGTTTTCCATTGAATTCGTGATAAGGGCGCCATTCGACTGTACACACACGCATTCGCAACATGTTTCCACATAATGTAATTATACTATGATATATTTGAATAAATGAAAATGAAAAATTTTGGCTTGAAATTTGGGATGTTACATGTTATTCATAATAAATAACACGATAACACAGGTCTATAATGCTCAATTATGTATAACACGAATTTCAAATACTCAATTTACTCATATTCTTTGAATGATTATCTATATGCCTTTATTAGACATATTATGAACTCAATTCATCAAAACCCTTTGCTTTTAATTTTATGGTTCATAACAATTCATACAAAATTTCAAGTACTTAGTTATCAATATCATTTTATACACTTAGAATCGTGTAGACATCACTTTTATTCACTATCACTCTTCCAAATTCAACACAGAAATTGATTGGAAAAATTAGGGTTATAAGAACCATGAAGTCGTTGCTGCCCTAAATCATTAATTTGATTAACACATAGAACTTATTTTTATTCTAGAAGTCATCTAGATGATACTTTTTAACCTTCTTTAAATATCTTCTTGTTCCTTCTTAAAATACAGTCAAAATCACCCTTCATGCATGCTCTACTACTCTGGAATAATGAGTGGTGAACATGAGGAACAAAAGAACTCTCATTTTTTTTAATCATATTTTTTATTAAACAACGTCGACACACCATGGTGATACTCTATCCATGCCATGGAACATAAAGTTATGTCATCAACTTATCACATCGTCGTTTTCCATTATTTATGACACATTCATTCGGTCGTTAAAATATTCATTACTAAAGAACATAACAACCTACTTTGTACCACATTTGTCACACCCCCCAAAACCAGGAACGGCGGAAACGTTCTGGGGCGGAGGACGTCATGTATAATATCAACAACAATGTAAAGTAGTAAACAAGCAACAACATCATCCATTGCATTAATAAAATAATTATTATACAATTGTATTCTGTCAAATTTTGATAAACACTAAAGCATAAATCAAAATGAAAGATAAGTCTTGAACAAGCTCCATCTTCCTTTTTCCTTGCATCGGTACCTGTATATGATGACCTGAGGATACAAGTAATTTTGAAAGCGAGTATCAGCTTTGAAGCTGGTGAGATCATAAGTATTTAGTGTCTTAATTTGTATGTAAGAATTTGTAAGTCTATGTATTGTAAGAATTTGAAAGTGTATATGAATTGTAAGTGTTTGAAAAACCCTAGAATCCCTATGATTCCTTCTAGTATATGAAGGTGTCTTCTACCAAGACCTAACTGTTCTGTGTGTGTGTGTGTCTCTTGTAAGAGGATGTATTTTCCAAAGTATAACTATCATTATCCAAAAATATAGTTTGTACATTAATGTTTAAGTGAGGTTATCACTAAAAATATGTAATGGAAAAATCAATGTAGTACTATGGTGTAGTGCCGAACTACAACCGTACCTATTACCTTAAATCTAGGGTAATACTTCCAAGTACTGTAGTATTTGATATAAATAACTACATCGATACTCAACTGCCTTATTTGAGGGATAAGGTATAATGTGATGTCTAGATCCCAGACTATACGCTCCCCTATCAAAGGGATTTTGGGACCTACCCACGACCCCTGCATGAATGCAAGCCGTGAGCATCCACATTACTAATGATCATGTATACTCGATATAACTATCACAATTGCGGTGTGATTCATCAGTATAGTTAGATCCTGAACTGGTTCCGTGCTATAGCCCCTAGTGACGTCTATTCTATGTATATGTAAGTGTACTCATGTAAGTGTGATCATGTAATTGTACTCATGTAAGTGTGATCATGTAATAGTACAGTAGTGTACTGTAATGTTCTACGTGTGCTAGCTGTAATGTGTGTTCTCTCTATCTAGCAAGTATAGTAATGTAGTCATTCTAGTATAGCTGTATATGTTCTCGTCCTAGTATAGTTGTATATGTTCTCGTCCTAGTATAGTTGTATATGTAATGTACTGAAAAGTTCTAGAAAGTATTGACTCATGAATGAACTGACTCATTGTATGATATCGCGTTCTAGTAATTATTCTAGTATCTTCCTAAACTACCCATATGGTAGTTTACTAGTAATCTATCTGGTAAGTATGGACATGGATGTATACCCTCGCTACCCAAGGGCATATGTTAAATGGAAGGACCTTTTATGACTATATATGTACACATGAT